CACAGTTTCAAAAGTACCGATTTGGCACCGGTATCGGATAAAACCTAAACGATACCCATCCCTAATCGTGACTGACGAACCCGAGCTGAATAACATGACTGAAAAAAATTGCAGTGTATGCCCAGTTTAAAACAGCCAGGTTAGCTCAGGAATGCAACTTAACAAGTGTGTGTGTTTCAGGTGATCGTTTCAGGAAGCATGGTCCAAGCTGAGCTCCTGCCTGCTGTAGCCACACCCATTCCCCAGCGACAGCCAATCACAGCCTGCCATCGCCTCGGTCCACCTGTCGTCCCCCTGCCAAGGTTATTTTATTTAGCCACAGACTTTTTCCCATGATGCTTTGGTAGTTTCTGTTTGAGTTTTAATAAAGTGATAATCTGATTAAAAGTCGGGACTTCTCAGCTGCATAACATCTGCAGATGTTCATAATGGGAATGATCTTAAGGAGCTCCACAGCTTGCTGCTTTGATAGTTTTTAATCAGTCTAGACTTAATTTACTCTATTTTTTCCTCATAGCCCCGCCCCCACACCTGTACCAATTATTGGTAGCAACAACCACACACCCCTACCCAGCGTGACCCCAGTTACATCCAATAACGAGCTGAAGCCCTGCCCCTCCCCCTTCAGGATGAAACCAGCTGCAGGACTTCAAGAAAGGTAAGAATTTCTTCTGGATTGTCATGTTGAAAAAACACCGGTACCAAACATGAACATCACACTTTAAGACCTGAACTCCTCTGTTGTGCTGAATGTGGTTTGGACTGAAAAAAGAGAGCCTGTCCCTGAAAAAGACATCACCTTAAATAAAACCAGACTAGTAAAGCTCTGAATGGTTTAGGACCAAAATACATCAATTGACCTCCTGACCCAGTATGAACCTTCCAGATCCCTCAGGTCATCTGGATCCGGTCTTTTATCAGTTCCCAGAGTCAGAACCAGACACGGAGAAGCTGCATTCAGCTTTTATGCTCCTTATATCTGGAACAAACTCCCAGAAAGCCTCAGATCAGCTGAAACACTCAGTTTATTTAAATCCAGGTTGAAGACTCACCTGTTCTCAGCTGCATTTGAATAAAGCACCAAATCCACACTTTAATCTTAAATTTCAAAACTTACATTTAACTACTGATTTTATCTACTGTTCTGATTTGATCTGTTTTGACTTTATATACTGTTGTTTGTTTGTTTGTTTGTTTGTTTGTTTGTTTGTTTGTTTGTTTGTTAATTAGTTAGTTAGTTTATTTGCTTGTTTTAATCAATTTTAAATCATGCTTTTTATTTGTTCTTGTTTCTAATGTCTCTGTAAAGCACTTTGAATCACCTTGTTGTTGAATTGTGCTATACAAATAAACTTGCCTTGCCTTGCCTAGTAACTGTAGGTCACACTGACGTGCGCCCAGTAGAGGTTCAGTACAGTTTCAGCTGTGTGGTAGCACACATATCTACAGTCTTATGTAAAAGCATCTGGAATCTGGATGAATTAAAATGGGAATTTTTTAATTATAAAATATTGTAAGATCAAAAAGCTACTGAATTTCAAATGGCAATGAAGCCTGTATGTTATTTATTTATTTATTTGTAATATTCAGATGGAAATGTATCTAATGAGCACTCAGTGTTTGTGAGAGGAAGAATGCGCTCCGTGTGTGTGTGTGTGTGTGTGTGTGTGTGTGTGGGGGGGTGTGGGGGGGGGGGGGTGTGTGTGTGGGGGTGTGTGGAGTAGCGTAACCTCTAACCTGTGATTGTTGGAGCAGGCAGGTGTTGAGCTGTGTACGTGCTCACAATGAGCCTTTGAACAGATGTGCTTACACAAGGTGGAAAGTGTGGTGGAAAAATTAAATCCATGATTTGTTTATTTTTTTTCAGTCTCATTTCATGGAGTCTTAACATTTACTCTCGCTGTTACTAAAGACTTGGAAGCACGAGAAATGTGTTTGGCAAGTTCGACACAAACAGTGCAAAAAGAAGAAAAACCTCTTTGAAGCTGGGTACCGTCTATTTCCTGATTATAAAATGCAAACACTTTTGTAAGCTGTTGCTTTTGATGGTGTTAGCTGCTCTATAGCTGTGATGTTAAATTTGGGATTGAACTGGATTAAGATCTGTTGACTTTAAAGGCCATGGTGTTTGATTCGCATCATGTCCAGCCTCCTCAAACCACTCAGTGAGCCCTTGTAGCCTTTGGAGAGAAGTGTTATCATTCTGGAAGAGACCGCTCCCATCAGGATAGAAATGTTGTCGTAGGATAAAAGTGATTTGCAGCAACCCTTCCTTCTAAGGGTACAAGTGGCTTTGCAGGGCACCGCAGAGTGGACCAGGAGATCCCCCTCACTATAGGGGTGAAGGGTTCAGCTTTCCCTTTTAATATATTGTCTGCCTGTTTATCAGTACCGAAGGCTTGCATTTAGACAGTCACGTAAGTTTCCTCTGTAATCAGTCTGCAGAGTGTGTGTTCATATCTATCAGAGAGGACTCAGCAGGTCCTTAGGCTGGTGTTTATATGAATAGAGGGGTCCCGTCGGACACACTTCCACACTTGTCTCAGGCTTGGAGTTGTGAGGTGTGTATTGTTAGTTCAGGTTTCCACAGTCATAAACTGATTCTTATGAACGCATTTTTATTCTTGGTCTCGAGTTGAAAGTTTAAAACGACCCCTCTTTGTCCCCTCAGTCCATCCTGTGTGTGAGCTGAGACCTCGCTCCAGGAGCTGTCTGCGTCTGATGGAGTTGATAAAGGGCTAGTTCCTGATTATACAGGGCGTCTTTAACCCAAACTCTGATATTTTCTTTCCTTAGACCTAATAAAGTCATTTTCAGCTTGCAGTGGAGATTCTTCTGGCTGACAAAGCTGTGATTAATGACACCTCCAGCTTCATAATGCAGACTTCTCTCCCGAGTGGAGTGCAATATATTTGGCAAGGCAGAAGTAGGCTCTGGAGTTTTACTGGTTTCTTCTCCACTAAATCAGATTCTTTGGCCTGTCTGATGGGAAGTATCTGAAACTCTGAGCCTTGTAAACAAACTAATTGCTGTGGAGGTGAAGTTGGTGGATCCCGAATTACAGAATTTATCAACTCTGAGTGGGATCAAAGAGTCCTGCTGATTACCTCCTCAGCAGGAGCGTGGCATCCCTGCTAGCGGATAACCAACAGCTCGAAGCGTTCTCCAACAACTAAATCACTTTCTGTGTGGACAGGCGTTTAACATGAATCGCCTCGAGTGGAAAGAATTTGCCACCTTACCTTTGAATTATCAGATTACTAATAAATTTAAAGCGGTAGGATTGTGAATCCGTAGTCCTGGTGAAGTTTTGGTCTTCTTGTGTTCCCAACCTGTGCCATATAACGTGTACACTTACTTAAACTGACTCACTCTTTTCAACAATTTGTCCCTTTGTTAGATATCATAAATATCTTAATACAAACCTTAAAAGAGTAAAAGCTTGGCAAACATTGGCAGGTGTGCCTAAAGTTTATCTCACATCTTTGTAGGTTTTTATCATCATATCGTTTCAGTAATATGATGATGTTTTTGGCTTAAAAAGTCACCCTTCGGCACATTAGTTACATAAGACGGATTTAGTTGTGAGATGCTTGGATTTGGTTGAGTAAATTAGTTTGACCTCATTTTTCTAAGTCAGACGTGTTGAGAGAACGCCGACTTACATTTTCATACAGTTGCTGTCGCCTTCAAACTTGGCTGAGGCTCATTTCCCCCCTTAAGTAGTTTCATAACTGAAAAGAAAACATCTTTGTGCGCCTCGGCTTGACGTTGAGCACTTAGGGCTTTATCTGCTGCTCCTAAGTCTTCCGCTAAATCACACTCAGACCTCTGAGGCCATTTTGTTCTGGTTACATCAGAGCGAGGTAATTAAACGTACAGTGTTCCTTAAGGTAAGAAAAGGAAGGAAGATTTCGGGCTCTGAGTGAGAACAGGATGTTTTTCTCGGTGTCTGTGTCTCACTTGTGTGTCTGTGTGTGCGTTGTCCACTCTGGATGGCAGCCAATCGCCAATCAGACAAACTGGAAGTAGCAGCATCCTGGAGAGGAAACTGGCTGACACGTAGTCAGACGAAGAGAGTCCACCCACATGAACCCCATCAAAGCACACCTTGTCTTCTGTACCTCTCGGCCTTTTGTTCCGACACTTTTGTGACACAGAAAATGTCCGAGTTCAGCTCAGCAGTTCTGCTCTTTCAACATGAAGTTTGTGTTGGTTATTAATCTGCTGTCAATAAAGAATTTCCTTTGTTTATTTAGGGATTATCACGAGATTCTTGAATAATGTAAAATGCATTGGTTATTTAGCCAGATATGTCTGCACTGGACGGGATGGCAGCACCCCATGTTTTAGACAGAAGAATGCATGCAGCATGTAATTAATATCAAGGAGGCAACAACCAGAGATGTGCAAGTAAAACCAAAGTACACAAAGTATGAAAAGTTCCAGTTTGAATTGAAAATATTCATAAAATTATCATGAATTATTGAAAAATCATGTTTTAATGAGTCTTATAAAACCAGACTTTCATGTCAATAGGTGGATGTTTGTCTGTTCATCTGGATGCTGCATATTCATCCAGGAAGAAATATTTCATCATTCATCAAAGTAACTTTTTCAGTCAGCTGACTGCAGGTTTCCCTACATTATAAACCATAAAGCCGCATAACAACTGAAACCAGCTCCAGTGCCTAACCATGAGCCACAAGTGCCATTTCATAAGCAATTACCATGCAAACTGTGAGGGAGATGGCTGCACCCCAGCTTTTTTGGCTGCTGTGACCATTAGGTCCCCTCATTGGTTCAGAGATGTCCCCTTTTCATAAAAATGGGCGTCCTTGTCAGCCCAGTCAACCCAGTGCTCCTTCCAGTCCACCATGTGCACATCCTCATCTTGTAATTATTGACTTCTGAATCCTGTTGTGCCATCTGCTTAAGCAGAAGTTGTTTGGTTTCCCCGATGTATAATTAGGAGCTCTCTTGGCACTTGACTTGAATGTTAGCGAATAAGCTAACATTTGTTGGCTAGCTGTTGATTAGCAAGACTGCAGGAATCTGTCATTGCATTACTTTGTAATTGGCAAATGGTCAGTCACCAGACAGATCAGATTCCCTGAACGTAAAATAATTGACTATATTTTTGTTATAATGGGAAGGTAACAATTCATCAAACAGACTGTCTGTGACCGGGTTTGAGCCCCAGAAGGGAATGAATCCTTCTTTGAACCATATACCCTGCTGAGGTTGGCGGTGGTTTCCCCTGCATACGTAAAACCAGATTGTGTGGAGTCATGATGACGGTGAACAGCAGTTAATTATTTTAAAACTGAATTTTTGGTTTGAAGATGTACAGGAGGAATGAGACTGAGCTTTTAAAGTGAGTGATTTGTCAGATGGAGCAAACCATTTTGAACACGACAACTTCTTTGATGTTGGGTTCGGTGGTTTGTTATCAGCTGGAAGAGCGTTGTCTCCTTATGAAAGCAAGAGTTTGTCAGACCAAACAGAGTTTTTAGTAAGAGCTGAGGTTAAATCACTGCTGTTGTAAAATAAAGTAAACAAAAATTATTTTCAACCAGTTTTGGTTTTTCTTTGTGTTAAATTATTGTCTGAAGCATTAAGGGGGATTTTTGTTTATCAAATTGCAAACTCTGAGTCAGGAAAAACCTTAAAATTGACCAAGCCAAACTGAAACTCAACCAGCAAACCAGAGAAGTGCAATAAAAAATGTAGGAAGGAAGGGAACTCGTTCGCATGATCAGCCCTTCCATTTTTTAACAAAAGCTGTCTTTGCCTCTTCCCTCCCATCCTTCCTCTGCAGACGTGGCTCTAATGTCTCCCTGGTTTTGGACATGTCTGCTCTCGGCACTGTGGAGCCCCTTAACGTCGCCGTGGTAACCCCCAGGGAGGCAGTGGCCAGGGAGTACCTGCTGTCGGCTGGCCGGCCGCTCACCCGACAACAGCTGCGCGACATCGTTAACAACACCCACAGGCTGCACGCAGAGTTCGCTGTGAGCCCGAATTTCATGCTTTGGTTGGGTTTTTGATGGGACACACTGAAATGTTGAAGGGCTGATTTACATGCAGTGATGCAGTCTTTCATAATGCCCTCAAGTTCATAGCTGGAACAGCTTTATAATGGATTTTAGAGCTCTATGTGAGAAAATCAGCAGCAGTTTCTTGCAATGAGAAGAGAAAGGCATTGCATTTTCTTCATTTACAAAGATCATTAACTAACCAAGTCAAGTTGAAATAATACTCATGTAAAGTGCATTGTGTTTTAATCTGGGTAAGAAATGTGCCATAAAATTGAAACTTGTCTTCCTAAAATCTCAGGAAATCCCAATGAACTTCATAGATCCCAAGGAGCTGGATATTCTGAATCATGGGACCAAGAACAGATATAAGACCATATTGCCCAGTGAGTATTCTCAGTGTTGCTATGGAGTTAGAAATACTTCCAAAACAATCCCAGTCTCTGATTTCCTGATGAACCAGGAAGTTGTTTTATTATGTAGGCGGGACTTAGTGTCAAAGGCCAACAACCGCAAGGACAGCTATTATCGCACCTCCCTCTTCCCCATGAGCAGACGGAACAATACATTTTCCTCTGAGCACAGTTTGTTCTCACACTGTCGGCCAGGAACTTATCCTGATTAAGACATTATGTAACACACACACACACTTACTTTTTGGTTTGTGTAGCCGTGCTTTGGGAGGAGGGTGGGGTTATCAATACAGCACTGTTCCTTCCTTCCGACCAATCAAGAGAAAGGAATGCTCACCTAGAGCTGCTGTCAATCAGACTTTCCTCTGTTCCACATTCTGTGTTGTTCTTAAATGTGCTCCAAACGTTAAAACATAACCTGCAATAGGACTCTACCAACCCTAGATGTTATAGGTAGATATCCACTGTCATCATATATTGGCTTGTTTAGGACTATATTGAAGCCTCAGCTTTTACCTAAAAATAAGTTTTCAGCAGACATTTCAAACAAATAACAGAGTCAGGTGACCTTATAGTCTGAAGAAGGCGGTTCCACAGTTTGGGAGCCACAGTTTAAAAGCACGGTCACCTCTGGTTTTAATATGATAGCGAGGGACTGTTAGATGACCCTGGTTAGGTGATTGGAGAGGTCAGCTGCATTGATAAGGTGTTAGAAGTGACACATATGAAAAGTGAATTGCAATAAATCAAGATTAGAGAAAGTGTGTACTAAAAGTTTAAGATGATTGACTGACAGTAAAAGTTTGATTTACACAATATTTCTCAGATAAAGAAAACAAGACTGGGTAAACTTTGAGACATGAGTTTCAAAATTCAGGTGCTGATTAAAAGTGATACTTTTCCTCAGAATGTTTTTGAGCTTAATTTAAACTATTCTCGTTAGTTTTCTCCTTTGTACCTTTCCTTGTGTCCTCATCTCCTGTCCTTGGTATGTTTCCTAGACCCTCATTCCAGAGTGATCCTAAAGTCAAAGAGCTCCAACGACCTGCTGAGCACCTACATCAATGCTAACTACATACGGGTGGGTAACGGCACAAACTGTCCTGCAGTCCAAGCAATCGATTTATGAACTAATACTTAACATACTTGTTGTTTTCATTTATTTTCCTTTTTCTATTCTGAAAAAAAAATTCTATTCATTATTTTCCAGACAATTAGCTTATTGTGTTTTCTTTGCTGTTTGTGTTGTTTTGATCGACTCATCTGTAGTTTCATGTTCTGTCTGTAGATCAGTTGCATAACAACAAATTGTACTCTGAGTATTATTTATTTATTTTTGCCTGGCTTACTTGTATTTCCTGTTTTTTTTGTTCTAGCTCTCAGCTGCTGTGTTTATTCTGGGAGACATTTTCGTACTTACTCAGGTTTTGAAAAACTTTTCAGTCCAGTTAATGATGACATTTGTTTTGTTAAATCTTCTCTAAACCTTAGGAAAAAACAGCAAGCAGGCTGTCATTATCACTCATCTGGAATGTAAACAGCCTTTTCTTTTTCTTCTGGCTCCTCGTCGACCTACACAGTGAAAGTATTTGCCTGTAGAAGTCTGTAATGTCGCTCTCAGACTTCCACACAATAGACTGTCTTCCTGTCAGGAAACACCACTGAAACAGTTTAAAGCGGCGGACCTCATGAGACAACCGAGGCTGTTTAATTTCTTTGTCCTACTACACACACGCACACACACGCACACACACGCACGCACGCACACACGCACGCACACGCACCAAAAATCTTATTCATCCAGAATAAGTAAGCACTTCAATTACATGAAAATAACAGCGATTATGAAATGAAACACAGCACTTTTTTTAAAAAATTTTTTTAATTTGAAGCTTAGAAATGAAATATGTTTTTGAAGTTCAGTTTGGCACGGTCTTACTGTTTGTTTTTGTTATGTCACCTGGAGTCATTAATGCACCGTTTTTTGCTCTCCGCACACATTTAGCTCAAGCTAGTTTGGAACTAGCCACATCCTGATCCAGTTATCAGTTATGTCGGTTAAAAACTGACAGCATGAGGAGCACCCTGAAATAAAACAAGTTTTTATTCACAAATGCCTTAAAGGCCATGCCAGCGAGAGAACACTGAATCACTGTTCAATTAAACTAGCTCATATACAGGCATGAAAGATTTAACCTGCTGTTTAACAGTGAATACGAGCGAATGGATCAGCTGAATAACCAAGTTAATGATGTTTTTCAGGTTCTTTATTTTAGACTAATCTACAGTTCTAACATTTTCTTGCCGTTTTTCTTTGTGTAAAAATGGTTTAAATGCAGACAAATGGGTTTTTCTACGTTTTTATTTTATTTATGTATTCCAAAATGTAACAGGTTCTTTCTTTGCACGTCTTCATGAAGTTTTGGGAAATCCCGGTATATTTTGTCTACTGCTGCTGATAGACCCTGGTGGAGGAATACATTCATCATTCTGTGAATGATGCTGACCCTGCTGTGTGATTGGTTCATTCTGCAGGGTTACTTGGGGGACGATAAGGCGTACATCGCCACTCAGGGTCCTATGGTGAACACGGTGAATGACTTCTGGCAAATGGCCTGGCAAGAGGAGTCACCAGTTATTGTCATGATAACCAAACTGAAGGAGAAGAACGAGGTAAGAGTCTAAAAAGCAAAGACTGTGGAAGAAAGAGCGTCTTCTTAATGCCAGGGTAGATTTTAAGTGTTGTAGGCGCTGAGTGTATAGCAACAAAAATGGAGTGATCTGGAAAGTGCTCAGCAGAAGTGAAAGGTGAGCTGAAGTTAATGAATGCCGTCTTTGTGCTTTCCTCTGTAGAAGTGTGTTCTGTACTGGCCGGAGAAAAGAGGCATCTATGGGAAGGTTGAAGTGTTGGTGAACAGCATCAGAGAGTGCGAACACTACACCACTCGCAGCCTCACGCTCAAGGTACACGTTGCACAGCAGGGAACGTGTTCTCATCAGAGCTGAGAATCAGGACTAATATGTCATGTATGTTTTCATGTATGCAGTGTGGGAACCAAACCCGCTCTGTGCAGCATTACTGGTACACATCGTGGCCTGACCACAAAACCCCGGTCTCAGCACTGCCGCTGCTGCAGCTCATGACTGACGTAGAGACGGACAGACGGGCCGCCACCAACGTGGGACCAGTTATAGTCCACTGCAGGTACTGACAGACTGACCGACAGCGTGACAGTTCTGTTACTACTATATAATTATGAAATGACACCCTGCTCGTTTGATCGCAGTGCTGGGATTGGGCGAACGGGATGCTTCATCGCCACGACGATGGGCTGCCAGCAGCTACAGCTGGAAGGAGTGGTGGATGTACTGGGCATCACCTGCCAGCTCCGAGCCGACAGGTAACACACGTGTACTCCTGCAGGTTTTTACTGATGACCTGCAGGTCCTCACTTCCATGATTAAAACAATCTAAAGGGTGTTAAAAAGCTGACATTTAAACCTCTAACTGGCTCTTGTAAGAAAGTACCATTAGTCACTGAGAAACATGGTTTTTGCATAAACTCTGAAGCTGCCTCGCTTGTCTTTGTGGTCATTTTAAGTTTCTGTGGTCTCTTGGTTTCCCTTTGAAGGCATTGAGTGTGTCTGACATCCTTGCAGTTGTTTCAGACCTTTTGGTGATAGTCTTGTTTTAGTTTGTGGTCATTTTTTTTTATCTCTTTCTGGTTGTTTTTGTTTACAATGGTGTATATTATGTGTATCTGGACATTTATTTTTTTTATTTTTTCCCCTCCTCATTTGTGGAAATTTAAGGTGTCCTGCAGTTGTTTTGTGTTGCATCGATTGTTTAAACTGGTTTTGGCAGTTTTCTTTCTGTGTGGTCGCTTTTTTCCTTGCCATTGATGATTATGTTCAGTGTTTAGTTGTTGTTGTTTTTTGTCCTCTTTGTGGTTGCTAAAGCGCTCATTGAGGACCTTTTTTAAACATGTATCCAATACATATCAATTTAAATTAAATTATTAGTAATCATAACAAAGTTTGAATGATTGGACGAATATGACTTTGATTTGTTGAGTTCATCAGGAGTTGTTTTGGAGATTTGTAACATGTTGCCCAGCCTTGTTAAGTGACATAAGATACATAAATTGCAAATTTGACTTTGTCTGCACTTTAGAGTCAGATGGTGTGTTATGGTTTATTGCCAGCACTAAATTCATCCCTATTGCATGTTTTAAACAAATAGTTTTGCTTCTCATTCCTAACTCTGTCTCTCTCTTCCGTTATGTAGAGGAGGCATGATCCAGACAGGTGAACAGTATGAGTTTGTCCATCATGCCTTGAGCCTATATGAAGCCCGTCTATGTGCAGAAACTGGCCAGTGAGGTTTATCCACCTGACGAAGGTACAAGTTTAACCTGGAAGTGTGCTAAAACAGTCCTCTGCGGGTGTGAACTGTGGTTTGGGAAGTCTGGGAAATTCTGGAGGAGGCCTTGGAATTTGATGGACAGCATGGACAACCAAGCAGGACTGTTCTGGGAAGAATCTGCTCAAGGAAAAGGGAAAGGCAAATTATTAAGAATGGAATGTATCTTTTCATCTTTTCTTTTTCATCAAACTCTGTGGACCCGCCCATTTCACTTAACCAACCGATTGTTGGATCGAGTTTTAACTAACCAGACTCTCCCATAATGTCTCTTTTGTCATGGAGACTTAACAACTTCAATTTACTGAAACTGATGGTACATTGTTCAATAACACTGTTGTGTTTATGTCTTCTAGCATTTTCATTATTTTGTAATGTGGTGTTTTTATAAAAATGGCAACTGAAAAATGACTGTTAGCTGCACCATTGGTTAAACTATTCTAGTACAGTTGAACCAACACTTACCTGTTTGTGACCTCAGCATGCTATTCATTACTCTCTGATTTAGTCACAGTGCACTTCCTACACTTAGGCTAAGACAAGGTTCAAATGCTCCTTTTTTTTTTTTTACCTGTTATTTATTGGTGGGTTTTCTTTTTTCATATTTTTTCACAATCTCATTGACTTATTAAACTATTGCACATCAAACTTCTCAGAGATGCCAAACACACAAACTAGATTGACATCAATAGGGCTAATGCTAGGTTCAGATACATTAACAACTGACATTAGTAGTTATGTAAGCTTGTAAGCTAATGGATAAACAGCTAACAAATAAATTCTTTTATCAATGGTTGCCCATGGGGTAACAGCAACTTTTACATTCTTGTTTCTGTAAGTTTCCCAGCTTTTGCTGAGGTCCCAAATGGGGCTACCTTTAACAACATGCTAAAAGCTAACAAAGCAGATTGATGCTAATCTTCTGCTAAGCTATAGTTCTTGTAGTACAGCAAAGCAATTAGTGGCTAATTATAGCTCCAGTAGTTTTATTGCTTTAATGTTGATAAATATATACTAACCACTTAACTCATGCTATAACTAGTAGTGCATTATCCTAATACAGTATTTTTGTTAAACCAATTAAATCTAATATTCTGCTGCTAAGCGAAGCTTGTATTGTGGTGTTAACAGTTGTTTATGTAATATTCATCAAGTACAGCTCCAGAGAGGTTCTGGCAGCAATGCTAAGTCTGGGTAATATGGTAGCTGTAACTTACAATGCAAAAGAAATATTTTTTTTTCTTTATCACCTTTATGTTAACACTTAAAAAGACCAATGAATAATACATTAAATAAATAAATAAACAAATGAAAATACATAGGGAAATGGAAAATGGTGGCTTGCAAGGTATCTCACAAGTAGTGTTTTTAATTGTTAAATTAAAAGTCAAAACTTTGATTAGGGCTGTGCGATATGACCAAAATCTCATATCCCGATATAAGACATCTATCGTCCCGATAACGATATAAATCACAAAAATTTAACATTTTCTATAAATTCTGTGAATCTCGGGCAGCTCGACTTGCGTGAAGTGTTTCCAGCTGGGCGTCGTGTAACTGGAGTAGAGTGTTTTAATGCTGAATGAAACTATACATTTTTAGACATAAGTTGTAACGGCCGCCGTTTTCTTTGTAAGTATTTATTACACGGCGTGCTGCGGGGAAAAGCCTGTTCTAATGTTTGAGTCTAAGGTTTATTTTTTAACACCTGATGGCTCTTTTTTTGCTTCTCATCCGTAAATACTCTGCATACTCTTTCACGTGATTCAGTTTATTTTGAAAAGTCTAAACAGGATCTTGAGCTTTATTATGAAAGGTTTATGTGGAAAATAAACAAGCGGACACGCAATGGTTTTGTTGCTAACGACAACGCATTAAACAGGCGCTTGTCCGTCCGTAGTGTGGTTATATTAAATATAAGAGAAAGAGAGAACTTTAAGAAATTAATATAGCCACTACAGTGACCATCAAAATGACGAAAAAATATTGCCTTAAACAGTTTATTTTGTGACACCACGAAACAAACGATAGTATAAAATGAAATGATAGATGTTTTTATATTGTCATCCAATATATATCGTTATATCATACAGCCCTATATTTGATCTATAATTAAATCAGGTTGTGATTGCTGAAGAGCACAGGGAGTGTAAAGAAACAAAACAAAAAAAATCATATTTTAGCTTTTGCCTAGAAATCCCCCCAGCTGTTTGAACCCTGCCTAACTGAAGGGGATTTGATATAGCTACTTCAAGCTCTATATTTTTATTTAAGGTCTTTGGTAACTTCGCATGATTCATAGTTCAAATGAACAGACTGTAGCAAAGGACAACAGTGGTCTTCTCTAAAATGAGTGTTGCCATTTTAGTTTGGCTTTCTAAAACAGGGTCAAAAAATACAAGCCATTCCTGATGCCACAAATACGAAATTAGTGCTGCTCGGTCTCAGAGTTTACACTCCATCTATTTAACCTTGTCTAGCAGTGACATGTTCCCTGTTGTGTGATATATTGCTTTATACCAAAAATGTGAAATATGGTGCAGTCATCACATCGATGTGCTGTTGTAAATTATGTTATTTAGTGAGTATGTTATTTTGGTGTATCAAAGTAATAATAGCTTTATTTTTATACAGTTTTTACATGTTTTTGATGTCTTTAGCAGTCCTTTGTCAACTGTAGCCATTTGGGCTACATATCTCATTATCATTAAATGTTTGACATGAATTAAAAATTGGCTTTTGGTCTGTTGGAGACAGAAAATCCAAGCTTGACTCAACCTCAAACCTTAGTTTTGTTTAAGCCTCTCTCTGTGTTGGAGCAGTAATTTCTAAATTTCCTTAAACTAAATTACAGCTAAAGAAAAAGTATCGACTCTTATATTTGTCAGTAAATTATTTTTTAAAGAACCAATAGACTACTTTTTTTTTAACAAAATGTGAAACAAAAATAACAATATTGAGACATCTATTTCAGTTTTCTGTTAGAGATCAGAGGTTTCAACACTAATGTCAGTAATGAAGAACACTGGCATTATCATCTAATATTCTCTCTGTGTGAATGGGGAAAACCATGTACAGTACATGTTAAAGTGCTATTAAACCCAATGTGGGCAGTTATCTTTTCAAAGTACACATCACAAAAACACAAATCTCGCTGCTATAACTGGGAGCATTGGGATCAGACCGTTAAGGGAAAATAAACAAGAGGAACTTTAAAGACTTTTTCTATGTAACAATATATTTTTATTTACTTCTTTACTTATGATACAATCATGGGACTTCGGACCAGAGTCTCTTTGTCTGCACGTCCAACGTGCCTCATGGGACCATCATCAACCCGCTGTTCACTTCAGCAAATTCAGGAACTGGATGACGAATCCGGATATTTCAGTAGTGATACAATTTTCTCTGTTTGAACTGACTGAAGTGAAAGTGGGTTCAGCCCAGCCTCCATGCCCTCTACAGCAGCGGGCACAACAACACACACTGCCTCTGACGTAGTATTGTGTACAGTAGGATGTGGTTCATGTTCTGTACTTGTATTGTTGTTGACTGTTGATGGAGCTTAAAGGGACCCTAAATGTTTAAAGAATTATCATACTGTAATCACATTGTATTGAAAACAATTTAGAGTGCATTTCATTTTTTTGACATGAAATTTACAGCTTCCGGGCTCTTAGTGTTTATTGTAAGAATTCAACTTTCTGCTGAAGATCTTTAAATTTACTTCTTTTTTTTTTTTTTTTAAACTCAGATGCTAATGTATAGCCATTTAGAGAATGTTCTTCTTTCACTTCATTAGAAACTACTGCAAGCTTACGTTTTAATTTCTTGACTCAGAATGAATACAGAAACTACAGAGTGAAATTTGCAAAAGTCATCGGCACTGGATGATTATTCTGGCTCATTCCAGGAAATCAACAATAGAAACTATGAGCATGTGGACCAAACAAAACTAAAACTTCCAATCATTTAAAAGTGCTAAGGTGTGTATTTACATTATTATACAGGAGTCTAGCATTGTCTTGTACTTTGAAATTTTAAACTTAATATAAAGCTAAATCTTAAGCACCTGAAAAGCTGTTTACCATTTTCACATGCATAGTTAACTATGTTGGCACAGAGACTATTTTTAAACTTGTGCTAATATATGACCCACTTTCAGCACATTAAAAAAATTAAGGTGGATGCTTCTCATCCAGCATTGACAGCTGAGTTAAACAGGCAAACAGATTACACAATAGGGAAACTCTCCAAGCTGGATCCAGTCCAGAGTCACTTTGTTATCAGAGTACACTCTCTGTAGATCAATAGTGGCAAGATTTTTTGGGGGTCTTCTGGGGTAAAAATGAAAAATACTGCAAAATATTTAAGTGACCATATCCATTTGTATTTAATGTCTATTATTCAAATATTGAAATATAGTGTATCCAAAAAGTATTTTTACACAAACCGTTCTTGAAACATGCCAGCTGCCCGCAGGTATTATGGGTTACAGTCTAAATTTAATCTGTCTAAACTCTTTTGGCTGACTAAAACTTGTTTGCCCTTTAACAGCCTTAGCTAGCCAAAGTCGATCAGCTTATCAGTTATGTACGGATCTGTTCTTTAGTTCAGACATAAACCGGTCCCCAACCTTTTTGCACCATGGACCGGTTTATGTCTGACAATATTTTGACAGACCGGCTTTTAAGGTGTCGCCGATAAATGCAACAAAATAAAACCAGTACCAAAAATAAAAAGATTTCTTCATAACACGTGTGAAAAGACCCAGGGAAACTGAGTTAATGATAAAAAATAACGAAAAAAAACGATTAAAAACACTGAAAACCATAAATTACACGCTCGAGCCTCAACTCTCGCGGCCCAGTACCAAACGACTCATGGACCGCTCCCAGTCCATGGGTTGGGGACTGGCTGGTGTAGATTGTACCTAATTAAAAAATCTACTCATTTGCAAACATTACCCTATTGAGGAATTTTAGCTAATGAAACGTTTCTAGCCCAGTGGTTCAAAGGTGTTTTAATTTAAATCTTCGGTCTCTCTTGCACATTGATTCATGTGGTATTAACTTCTTTTCATGAATACATGCATTGGAATACTACTTTCTTAAGCTTTACCAATTCTGCTATGAGTTGTACATGTGCATTTACTCAAAGATCATTTTTAATTGTACAGTTTAATTTGTATGTATATATATATATATAACATTACGGTCCTTTTAAACTTCTTTTGTGTGGGCATTACAGATCAGTCAGAGTACACTTGATACTAATTAGTGTATGTACGGTCTAACTATTATACCTATGAAACATGGCTTTTTAATGTATTACTAACCAGCTTGAATGTTGTAATGGTTCAGAACATTAGCCACTGAGTAGTGCTGTAACCTTGTTATCTACTCTATCTACATATATATATATATATATATGTATATATATCTATATTGTTACCTGTAACCTGAGGATTAAAAACACTGGACATGAAAAATATGGATTCCTGTTTGCTTATCTTCATTGACTCTTTCCATGTTTGTGTTTATAATCCATCTAAATCCATAATTGAATGTTGCCAGAACTGGGGTGGCAGCATATAGGCAAATAAAAATAGAGGACCTAAATTTATTTTGTCCAAATAATATCCAAGGTTTTTACATGTGTATTGTACACTAACTTGAATAGAGGAATCAAACATGTGGGAGTATTGCAGCAGCAAGGACTTGTATAAAAGTTGACAGATTATATTGTTGTCTAAACGTTTCTGTAGATTTAAAACCAGATACCGGCAGGGCCATAAATATTTGGACAGTGAGACAATTTTTTAAGTTTTACATCAAACATTAATAACATGTTGGACGTGCAGACTTTCAGCTTAAATTCAGGGGATTTAACAACAGTGTTCGATGAATGGTGTTAGTTTTTTTCCATCTGTAAATACAATACTTCAAAGTTTTGTATGAATTCTGATAAAAGTTTGTAGGAGTGTAGAGTGGGCTCATGTTAACAGTCTATTCAAATTTAACTTACACCCACCAAGGTCTTCAGGATGAAGTGATTTAGTGATTTTTATAGTTACAAATTGACAAAAACAGACTACTTTATAAATCCCAGAGGAAATTATGAGGGTACGGTTGCTCGAAGATAGTACAAACATAACTCACTAGTTAAAGTACTAATAATAAATCATACAAAAAATTTAAAAAAAAATAGCTCTATTGAATACAAATAGGTCTGATGTATAAATATTCCAAAGTCTTACATAAAATTGAATGAGATAAATTTGAAAGTGCCTGTCTTATCATACTGACTGTAATTTTCTCTGTGGAGGATGTGACAGTGTGCAGCTACTGCAGTGTGTACTTGTGCTTTAGATGGAGGAACTGTACAGAGACAGAGCCACAGGCACAAATGACTTCCTGTGTCATTCAATGGTGCCTAACTTATCAATTTCCTTACGAGTATGGTATATATTGTGTAGCTGACCTCTGACTTCTCCTTCAGGGTTAGTAGATCTGAAGGTCAAAATGATAATAAAAGGCCATATAGAACTGTTTTTAAACATTTTATTACTGCCACTGTTTGTATTGACAACACATAGACATATAGGATGATATGAGGATTCTAAATATTTGACTATGGACCTTAGACCTTTTCAAGCTCAAATTTTCATAAAATGTCCTTTGTTTTTATAACTTTGTTTAAAGTTTTGCTGCCTATGTTTATATTGGTAACATTTAGGAAATGGCACTGCTATGTGGGCATTCAAACTATCACGTTATAGTTTGCGTCTAAATATCGTGTCCCATTCGACCTCTGGCCTTGACCCCATTTTCAGAAGTAACTGGAAAAAATGCAAAAATAGTTTCCCTGAACATCTCAAACATATAATTTCAGTCCGTGATTATAAGCAGACTATAATTACATAAGTAATAATATTTTTGATTTTCATTTCACAAATGTTCTGCAGCAAAAATACTGCTTTATATTTACGATGTATATTAGCAGGTTTTTTTTTTCATGTGATATCCCACAAAATATCTAAACCATGAAAATAACTTCAGTTACTTCTCTGTAAAGTCTTACATGGTGTAAAGCTGTCTGGGGTGCAGGATTGGAGCCTCTGGTTGCCAAATGTTGACATTTAAATGCTGAAGTTATGCGATGACATTAAATATTTTTATCTTATTATTTATTTTTTACTTTTTATGTACTTTAATAAATCAAGAAGCAGTGATGACAACAACAAAATAAAGATGTGCTGATAAAAATATTCAGCATGTAAATATCAAGAAACACAGGAAATATGTTTGGTACTGAAGGCCATAAAAACATGTTCATATAATACCTAGTCTGGTATAGCAAATGGAAATTTATATAAACAACCTAATATGACAATAATATTATAATCCAACAGTCAAAACTTCAATTTACAAAGTGTATCTGAAAAGACAGACATAAATGGGAAAAAAATATTTATACTATTATTTAATAGTATATGTAGGGATTCTGGAAACATTGAGAAGTTACGATATTACAGCTGAGATAAGTTAATTTACTGTGGTTAAATTTAAAGTTTTAATCCCAGCATTTAATCAGCATCTTCTCAATAAACAGCAGCTAAAAAAAATTAAATGGGGAATTTTTAAAGGGAGTTGTCTCAGTTTCTAAATTAAGCATCATGTATTTGTATGTGCAAATGTTTTTGAGGTATGTGAGCAATGTGGCGTTACAAAAACACCTAAAAGTCTCATTTGAACAGAGACTGGGAGAAGCGGTCAACATGACATGAAAAAGTGACACACTTATAGAGCTTACTTTGGGAGAGAAACTTTTAGTATACAGTAAAATAATAAGAGTAACCCCTGCACAAACTGTTGCATTGAAATTTACCAGATTCCATAAAATGAAATGTTTAATGGTCAGAGTTACACTAAAGACTAACTTGTGTAGAGCTGAAAACTTTTGTTCCTAGAATCTATGATTAAGAGAGAGAGAGAGAGGAGGGGAACAGGAAGGAAGGAAAAAGGTGGGGATGACTAAATGTGGCTCAAACTAACTGAAACAAAAGGAGTTTGGCCTTTAACTTGTAACACTGCTTCATAAAGAAGTCGACTTTGACCTTTTCTGGCTCAGATTTGATCTTTGGCAGCCCTGGCCAAAAATCTACTGATCATTGTCTTGTTATTGTGGATAATTAAGTGTATATATTTTGGGAGGAAAGGGGAAACAGTAGAGAAATTCATAACACAAAACTGAATTAGAATTATTACGTTTTTTACAAAGATAATATAAACAAAACTCCATCATGCTAGAAAGCTAACCAGAGGCCTGAAAGCACAATTATAGCTAATTAGGCATTACAGACAAGAACCAACAAATCTGAATTTTCCAACATAACTTTCATGGTATTTATTATTTTGACTTGTATTTGTTGAAACTACAAGATAAAAGTTGTACAGTGAAAAGTGGAAAAGCTGAAATTTGATTTCCAGTATTTAGCAAGAAATGGAGCCCCCTTGCTGTCACGTTGCTCCTTTTGAGAAGTATTGGTTGCATATATTTAATGCATATCCATTAAATAAACCATGGCTCTGTCTCGTTATACTGACCTATTAAACCATCAATCCATTTTCTGATGCTTATTTTGGTCCATGTCATGGTGACCACAGTGTAACCAGAAATGCCCAGACCTCCCAATCCCTAAATGAGGCCTCTAATTCCACTGCAGGGACACCGAGCCAGCCTAGAAGCATAATCCAGCACGTCCTGGGTTGGCCTGCTCCTGGCAGTAATGCATGGAGTATATTATCTAGCTGGTGTCCAGGAAATGTCCATGGCCTCAGGCTTTGAGGTACTAACCCTTACTCCTTGATTTGCACTCAGCTGCAAACTGCTGCAGGGCAAGCCAGAGTTCATCACTCAGTGAAGCAATCCTTGGGCCACCTTAAATATACCACCTAACAGGAACCTTTTCACGAAAGGCTGCCGACAATTACCTAAAAAGAATTGTGGACAAAGGGCAGTGCTGGTGAAGTCCAGCACCTGTTGAGAATGCCCATATGGAAAAGATATATATAAAACTTATAAGGTTTGTATCTGTCTTGTGTGAAACTTGTATGAAAAGCATACAAGAGTAAAAACAGATATAAGATCCCTTGAAGAATTATATAATGAAACTTGTATGTTTTGGATACTTACTAAAACAATATATGAAAGTAATGTGAAAGTGGCTACTTTCATGAGTAAATCATATAAGTTTTTACTATTTCTTTTCCATATGGGTGAGACCTGTTGTTGTCAGTGCAAACAAAATTCTAGCCACTACATGGCTAGAAACGGAAATGTTTAATCAAGAAACTTTATGGATTATATCTTTTCTTAAGATAGAGTTTAGTCATACATATAAATTCTTATATGAATATAATCATCATTGATGTTGGCTCTATAAAAATAATTCCCCAGCTCTTTGATGCACTGGTTTTATGCTCTCTGAATATCCAGCAGGTCACTTGCCATTGAAGGGAGTAACAGTGGCTTGGCGTTTAGCTTGTAAACCTACTCAATAGAAGACTTGTTAGAGTTGAATATACAGCTGAGCCGAATATAGACCCACAGAAACAGCAAAGTTACTAATGGAGCGGCATCCAAAGACAAAGCTGTCACTAAAAAAGAGAGACAGAGCAAACTTTAAACTTCAGTCTCAGTGAGATTTAATCAAACACTCGTCTCTATTTTTAACATCTACCTCTGCTGTCAGTGCATCAAGGTGTGCTGCTATTGTAGTTGCAGGCCTATTTTTAGCCTCCATCCAGGCTGGGTTTGTAGTCGTGCCTTTGCAGTGACTCACAGGTCTGTTGGCCTGATTGAGGAAGTCCGCTACTGAGTCCCAACCTCAACACTATAGAGTGACAGACAGACAGGCAGGAAGAGAGACATACAGCTGGTGAGACAGGGAGCGCAAAGAGGGGAAAGGCTGTTTTACTTTGAGAGTTTTAAGGAGAGGATGGACACGAGGCAGAGCAGAGACGACGGATAAATAAAACCACATTTCCTGGGAAAATTTAAATTTTTTGTCTAAAAAAGGAATAATTTTTTAAAAGATATTAAAAAGGACATTTAACCACTTTTTCTCAACATTTTTCTTCGGTTTCCTATCAGGATTTGGATTCTTTGCTGAACACAAAAGAGACTAAAGAGAAGGATATTTTCTACCATCCACCTGAAACAGTGAATACAAACACACCCGTCCTACCTCAGGCTTAGGATTATGGTGGTGCATGGTCCGCGTGGGGATCTGAGACAGAATCAAAATGCTGAAATGTAAAGTTTGCAGTTATTTCTGCTGTCTGCGGTTCACCTCGTTGCTGCTGCTGATGCTGCATCAGGTCAGTCTGACATTCATGATCTGTGTAGAAAAGGAGCACATACATAAGAAGCTTCAAATGTGATATCAACCTCGTGCGATCTGAGTTACTCTTTAGATTAACTTTGATCACTCTGCATGTTCCTGTAGTCCAGGGTCATCTCGGACACAATGCAAACTTTTTTTACTTTTCCAAATATGTAATTTTTTTTTTTTTTAGAAATTTAGTAATTATTATATATTTCATGGACTTTTACAAAAATGCAACAAGAAAAGAAACAAAGTGCTTTGTGAACAAGTCTCCGCAACTCTGTTTTCAAAAGTGTGCCTAATACAAGATGAGCAAATATTAAATCATGGTTTCTTTCAGTTCTTTAAATTAAACTGCAAAATAAAACTGGCCCTTCTTTTTTTACATTTTAAATACCAAAGCAGTCAGGTGTGAATAAAATACACGCAATGAGATAAATAAAATGAAATCCATGTGAGATGTTACATAGAGTAGATTCACTGTTTAGCGTAAAAAGATGAAAACAGGTTAATTTATGTTAATGTCAAGCTTTTTTAAGGACCTTGTCATTCTTAGTTAGAAAACTTGAGATATAACAGCAAACCTTTGTCTTAAACCAACCAAATATATATACATATACGTATATATTTAGAACAATCTGTATTTTTCATCCTTTTAAGAAAGATTTGTCTTCATGACAAACAAATCTTGGTGTTAGCATCCATCAGGTCACCAGTGAACTATGCATAGTGTTTGATTTGATTAACATTCAACACTTTTCAAAGGCTTTTGACCTGTTCTAAACACCAAAATGGAAATGTTTAATCAAGAAAATTGCCAGAAATGTATGAGACTTTATTTGAAATGAACCCTTTAAAAATTATAATTTAGACTTTGAGTTCGATACAAACAAAAGTTTGTGCGATACAGTTTGTCTTCTTTGGTGACACCTGTTACTGCAAAGGGAAACCTCATAAAGTGCCATCTCTCTTTGTGTTGCTTTGAGCTCCAACATGTGATGGAGCATTTACACAATCTAAAACATTTTTCTATGTATAAAATGATTTCTTTTTGCACGGTTCACTTCATTAAATATACTTCCATCCACTTTAACCTCCTAAGACCTGAACTCTTCCATGTCATGCATTTTTAATTTCTCTTTGATATTTGGACATATTAGGACCTGATGAATGTAAAAACAAAGAATTACCAGATTTTTTTTTTACCCAATTTTTGTTTCTGAGAAAAATGAGATCCACAATTGAGAACATTTGTTTTAAATTTCGATAGAACAGTGGCGTATAATGTCCTTGTAAGTGGATATCAGGCCCTTGTAAAGCAAAATTTAGTATTTTGGTCTAGACAACCCAAAATGTAATGTCCACATATGTGGACCCGGCGGTTAAAACACTCAAACAAGCGAGTCACTTGTTTGGCGCTAAACCAAGGATGTGATTGCAGAAAAGCAGAGAAGAAACACATGCTCCTGATGAATGTATTTCTAGATTACAGTTCCAAATAATAAATATGTATTTTTTTTTCAGAAGTAAAAAAAATGGGATGTTCTTACTATCATTGCTTCAGTTTCATGTTTCTTTATGTTTGTTCAGTGAAAGAAACACTGAACAGAACATTTTACTTCTAGCCAGTGTCTTCAGGTTTACACTCTGATGATTGTTGGCTGAAACCAAAAACTGCACATCAGCAGGTTTACCCAAGTAGCAGTGAAGGTTTGGCTCCTGTACAGTTTTGCTTGGGCCATATTTGACTTTGACTGACTGCCTAAAATCTCCCAGAGGTTTAACGATGACGTGCCACATATGAGGTGTGCTATGACATGTGGGCCACATTTGGACATGTCATAGCACACATTTTCCAGTGCTTAACTTTTGCAAAATGAAGCCCAGACTAGTCTCACTGTCAGTTATCTGGGTAGGACAGGGTTAATGAGTCTGACCTCACAGTAAGCCAAGGTTTAGCTCACATTAGTGTTTGGGGGCAGTTCAGGCGTTTCTTTATTAATAAAGAATTCCAACTATATCAAAGTATATCAAAGCCGATTGAAGGTTGATTTAACCATAACCTCATGCTGCTACTTCTGTGATTAGTAAGTTACACCAACATTTATACAGTCTCATTTTCCTCGGTCGCACTTCCTTCTCTTCCTGACTGTCGCCTCATTGCCGCATTGTTGTCTCTGAACTCCCTGAACTTCATTATCAGTGACAAATTGTTTTATTTTCTCTTGTGCTGGCCAAAATTTGAGGACAAAAAGCTCAGAAGCAACTATCTCCAACTTTATTATCGTAGTACAGAGGAGGTCAGTTCAACAGTCAAACCCAAAACATGATAGAAACGCACAAACATGCAGTCGCAGCTCTTTAAATAGCACAGCTGAATAACTGTCCGTGCGGTGGATACTTCAGAAACTCTGCAGCTCTCAAAGCCTTAAAATCAGCCCTTTTACTAAAATAAACTCTTAAACTTTATACTTCGCAGCAGACGCTGACAGTAGTTGCTAAAAAGCTTGTTGGTTTGATCGGTCAGTTTCTGCCATTTCTGATTGGACCAAATACATTTGATTCTATTTTTGCTCATTTTGGGTGACACTTTGATAGCTTTGTGCACATTAGTCTCATTAATTAAGGCTGTTTTGTCAAAGCTGCACTGCTGGTATGACTAAGTCACACACAAAGTGTCCATTGGTGTGTAGCTTGACAGAGTGGGATATTACATTGGTGATAAAGGTGTGTGAATCTCAAAGGTTATTAATGTTGTTGGCCAAGTAGCAACATCTGGGGCCATTAGACAAAATCTGCTGTTCCACTGATGTCTACTTGAGGGTTCAAAAGCAAGTCAGTCCCTATAAACATTTTAAAATGCTCAACTTTAAAGCAGGAATTATGTATAAATACGTTCTCTGTAGCTAATTTAGTCTCTTCATAACAATTGTACAGAATATTTTTATAACTTACCTCTTTAAATTGGCTTACAGTTGGCATTGTTGGGGGCCTGGTCTCTTTGACTGCTAAATGGACGGTGGCACAGGTGGCTGGAGCTGCTAGCTGTGTGCTAGGCTTCACCTCAGTTAACTGGAGTCACTGAACTGGACCTCTGGACTGTGTTTGTGCTGTTGGAGTGTTGTGGAGCATTTTTAATGACATTATCTGACCACTAATATGGCTGCTGTGAGGTTATTGTACTAACAGACCGTCCAAGATGTCTGAGCTGCAGTTTTGAGGAGTTATATTCTAGGATTTTATTTGGATGTTACAGAGCACTGATTAGCAGGAGTTTGTGTGATGCTCTGATACAGTCTATGGATGCAGCGTGCTAACTAATTTAGCTGGCATTAGCTGATAACTTAGCACTCTTCAAAATGCAACTGGTGGCATCACTGTGTCCATCTGTGATCCTTTCCTAAACCCAGTTGAGCTGTTTTTAGGGTCTGAACCTCAGTGAGTTAAATTGAAAGCCAAAAACAAGTCGGAAAAAACAAACTACAGAACAAGGTATAGAAAGGACTCTAAAAATAGCCGCTCAACTTACACCACCCCCCTTACTTCCCAGCGCCTACTTTGCAGGTCAAACTGGGCTCTTACCTCTCAGTGGTTGGAGCATCAACACCAAAATATGCCCCTATTCATGTGTGAGTCAAAATCAGAAAAATATTTGGAAAGCAGAAAATATTAAAGAAAAATGAAAAAAAAAGTTTTTGTTTGCTGATCAAAATTAAGAAGGGTGGGGAAAATTTGGACTCATGATCTGAGTACTACTTAAGTTTTGGCTCCTCTGTAGCTAGAACTTCAGAAATTTATTAGAACAATGGGATCAAAGTACAGCAACGCCCAACGTCTTCATTTTGGGAATGAACCTCCTGTAGACTTGAAAGCAGACTATAAAAGTCTGTTGTTTCCTCCCTTATGGAAAACAGGCTGCAGATTCCTGAACGCTCCAGCATCAACATGTCTGTAGAAACTGTTAACCATATTTGGACGATAGGGTGGTATTGGCTAACAGATACAGAGACCTGCTCATTAGTGCTCAGCAACATCCAAAATCAGTTCTTAGAATTTCAGTACGGTGGACCTGAGAGGTCAAATGCACTGCAACTCAAGGCAGAAAAGACAGCATCAGCTCACAAAAGACATCCTCATGAAACACGATGGAGACAGAAGTGACGAGCTAATGGTAAACGGCTAGAAGCGAACATATAATTACAATATTAAACAACTCATCCCATTAAAACACACTTTACCTGCATCCTGTAGCATAGTTTTTTTGTGAGATTTTCTTTTCCTTTATATATATATATATCTATATATATCTATATATATATATAGAATCCTCAAAGACTTCATTGTTAGAGCTTTACAGGAGTCATACCTTTTGGTGCATTTCTAATCACCTGACCAATAATATGGCTCCTGTGCAGTTAATTGTATCAAACAGTCTATAAAGTTTGAGCCATGGTGGCCCTGAGAGTAAAACTGCAGGTCCCCACGAAGTACCGTAGGAAAGAACACCAGTTCAACTGATTTTATTTTGGCATGTAAAAATGTGGAACGTTTTTCTCAGATAACTGAACATGACGTACAGTGTCAGAAAAGATTATGATATTGTTCAAAATATCAGAATGTAATTTTAACTATTTT